GAAGTCATCTGATCCAGGTCTTTGCTCTTGTTGAGAAGACTGTCTTTGTTGTGTTGGACTGCCTCCATATCTTCTCTCTCTGCATCTGATCCATGTCTTTTAAGTTCCTGAAGGATGAGTCAGTTTACAGAAGAAAGTTGAAAACTGAAAAAAGCTCTTTGCTGTTCTGAGTGAACTTGCATGGATGAATCAGAGTGCAAATCAAAGTCTACACCTAGCCCTTAACTGACAACTGTTATGTGATAATTGTGGTTCCAACCTTGATCGTAACTTCAAGGCTCTTCAATAAACAAAATTTCACCTTACTGAAAGCAGGGTCAAACCTAGCAGCTACATCTTTTTTAGTGGCAGCATTGGAAGAGGTTTTGCAAAGAAGGCAAAAATTATCCACATCATTCAGTGTTGAGACATTTAGTGGGAAAACTGCTTTTAGTTATTTATTATCCATATAGGGCTGGCTATAGGAGAGACTCTATCTACATTTTTGGAAGTAAATCAAAATAAATCAAAACCAGAGCAAATTAACCTAACAATAGAAAATGGTTTTATGTGTAAGGAAAGGACCAAAAAGTGATTGAAAAGAATAGAGGAGTTTAAATACATGTTTAATTTTCCTTTGTTTTAATTAGTTTTTGAACTTGTAAAATTCACATAATACAAAAATACCAAAGATCTGAAGGGCCCGATAATGTCTTACAGCTACTCAGTTTCCTTTTCCAGAGGCAAACACCATTACCAGCTTCTTTTTACCCTTCCAAGGGTATTCTATTCACAAGTGTATATGTTTGAATACACACTAAGTTGATTTTTATTTACACAATAAGAGAGTTATATGTATTTATTTTAGATTTTCTCATACTTGATCTAATTATAGTTGCCTTTTTGTGTTTTCTGAAAAAAAGGGCCAATAATCTTGTATTGACAAGAGCTCAATTGGAATTTTCTGTTAAGATTTGGGTACCCTTTCTGGCTGCAATTTTGTAAATAATTTTTCTTAGAAAAATACATAGATGAAATATAATCACCTATAGCTGTATCAGGTAGAAATAAGCATGATAAATATTTTGGTTAATGTCTAGGCATATACAGACACACCCAAATATTTTGTGAAATTGTAATCATACCACATAAACCCTTAGGGAACCTCTTCCCCCTGAAGAATATATTTTTTCATGTTTTATTTTAAACCACAAATAACAAATATTAACTTAAATAGAAAATATTTTCTTTTCTTTATTGAGGGGCCATAAATTTGAGGAGAACAGTATCAAGCTCTCCCCAGATGCAGAGCCCCCAGATGGAAAATGATGCCCCCAGCTTTAGCATGCGAGTCGAGGTTAGTAGTGGGGTATTTCAGTGATGGCAGCCATTCTGTGTGACATGTGTGACCTATGGCATCCAAGGTGGATGAGACAATACCTGAAATAGGAGAACATGGAAAACGGAATTAGAGAGGACAGATCTTTAACTTGCCCTTTTATTTCAAAGGGACCACAGGGCACAGGGAATAATTCAGCCTCCTGCTCCTGCCCCTACCTGAGTGAAGCTGCTGTAGCTTAAACTATGATGTCAACCCTGATAGAGAAGCTTATGCGTGAGGAGTGCTCGCCACCTTGGGAGCATTGAGTAGACTTAAAGCATCTCTGAAGGCAGACCGGGGTTGGGGGTATAAAAGCATTATAATAATTAAAATACTGTTTGAATACTGTAGTACCATGAAAATCTGTATATAACAAAAAGAAGGCCATGGCCCAATGGATGTCCTATGAATGTTAAGCTATAGTGATTACATTTTCGTTTGGTGAATGACTTTTATATTTCTCTGGAGTTCGCTGTGTTTTTAAGGGCTCTCTCCTCTCCAGAAGGAGCCCATGGCTCTTCTATATAAAGGGGGCTGTAGCTTCAGCACATGTTCTGGGAATCACTCAGGCTTCCATTTCCCGCCTCTCATCTGAAGTTTCTGGTTGGACGTCCCTGGTGTCTGTCTTGACCCCTCAAACCTGGATTTGACTTCACCATCCAGTCCCTGGCTGCCTCCCAGTATAAATGGTGCTCCCAGGAGTTACACAGAGCACAGACGCTGTGCAGCAGACCCGCTGGACTGCCTGCTTGTCTCTCAGTTCTAGCTTCACTCCTTGGATGCGCTCTCCGAGATCGCTCTCAGTTCCGTCTGAATCTCCCCCCACCCCAGCCTCCTCCCCAGTCCAGCTCTCAGACTCCCACTTCTCCTGAAGAAGCATCAGATAATGAAGTGTAATGAAATTTTGCTACTCTCACAGAACAAAGAACAGAATTAGTCATGCTAATTCACTGAAATACAAAATAAAAGAACCAAGACAGAAATATTTTATCTAGTAATTATTAAAATATACCCTGCATTCATTTATAGATAGATAGGCAGATAAATTAGGCTCCTCAAAGCTATTTACTAAAAACTTTGCCTGCATAACAGAGGAAATCATAGGCAAGCAAATATCTTTTGTCATGAATTTTTGTGTTATAAGACTCTTGTTAAAATTGTCTTCTCTGTTACATTCACTAAAGACTTTTACTGCTGCCAGAAAATAAGTCTTTTTTTTCCTTAATAGGCAACCACGTAATTTTTTTCCCTCTTGTTTTTATCTATCACCCAGCTACTCTCTTTTTTTAAGACTT